TTTTGGTCCAACATTTTCATTAACAATTCACGTTTGCGATTTTCATTGGCACATTTGTTTGCTAAGATTAAGGTTTGGTGGTCATTTGCCGCTTTAAATAACCTAAGGAAAGTGTTATATCCGTTCTTGAAATTCTCCAGTTGTGCGGCATTTCATAGCACGGTTATTCGCAAAGCGAAATAAATTTTTTCCTCTTCACTCCCTGGCGGCAACAATGACCCGGTTCTATAGTGAATGTCCTAGAAGCTTTACAGTATAGTAGGTGGCAATTTCAAAATGGGTGCGTATCATTGTTCTACAGAAATGCAATATACATATACTTATTTCAGACGAAATACCTTAAAAGTTTGAACGCATAATAATATTGGAAAATCACATCGATTGGGCCAATTGCAACGCAGGAGCGTTCGATATACTCAATGGTGCAACAGGTCGATTTAATCTGACCTTCACGGCCCCTTTTCTCACTTGGCTATTTTTAGTAATATCTCGACTTCAGCACCACTTGGCAGCACGTTTTTGCAATCTTCATGAGTATGCGATTGATTTCGTATATCTGCATACCAAGTTCCAGAACTCTACCATGAACACTTCCAAAGATAGGCAGTATGAAAAATTTGGTTTGTATGGAAGATGCCACGCCCCCTTTTCCAATAGTTCCAATTTTTCTCCAAGAGTATGCGATTTATTTCGTACATCTCCATACAAAATTCTAGAACTCTACCAAAAAATTTCCAGAGATAAGCAGTATGAAAAATTCGGTTTGTATAGGAGATGTCACACCCCTTTTTACAATAGCTAAAATTTTTCTCCAAGGGTATGCGATTGATTTCGTATATCACCATACCAATTTCCAAAACTCTACCATGCACACTTTCAGAGATATGTAGCATGAGAAATTCGGTTTGTATGGGAAGTGCCACGCCCCCTTTACATATAGATTTTTTTCAAGCCTAAAACCATCCTTGGGACACGTGCGGCAGGTGGCAGTTTCAAAAAAAATCGGTTCAGCCGCTCTCGAGCCTTGCGAAAACTAACAAACGGCTTTCTAAATATATATAAGTTGAGATTTACTATATATTATAATTATATTTTGACAGGATCCGTTGTTTCTGATTGGCGCAAAAAAATCTTGCCTAGTGACGAATTCGCCCCTTGATATGGTCGTTACTTAAAACTATTTATATTCGAAATTGCATGAAAATTGGAAAACAGGAATCTATAAGCTTATCCAGACAAAAAGCTACCTACGTACCGAATTTTAAGCAAATCGGACCGTAAATACGATTTTTTGGAATAGATCGGTCCCTGGTCCACTTCTCGGAAAAAATTGATCACATATGCTAATACATGCTAAAAAGCTACCTGCGCACCGTATTTTAAGCAAATCGGACCGTAAATTCGAATAGATCGGTCCCTGGACCACTTCCCGGAAAAAATGGGTCATATGTGCTAATATATGCTAAAAAGCTACTTACGTACTAAATTTTAAGCAAATCGGACTATAATAAGATTTTTTCGAATAGACCGGTCCCTGGTCCACTTACCCGAAAAAAAGTAAAATTTTTTTAGCCTAAAACATGGTGGTTACTGAAAGCTATTTGAATACAAAATTTCATCAAAATCGGACCAGCCGTTCGCGAGATTACCTGTTACAAAAAAAGGGACTTCTCTTTATATAATTATTATATATCCAACAAAAAACGCCAAAAATCAGAGTTCCAAACCTTATGCAAAATTAAAGAAAATTCTGGAAATTTTCATCCAAATATTGCATTTTTTATTTAAACTCTTTAGAAAAAAGTCGAGTACGCATTTTTTTTAGCCCATTAAATTTTAGTATAACAAGTGCAAGTTTGATATAGCTAGGATTTACCATTGATTTTTAGCAATTTTTTTGTTGAAGGTGTCGCTCATTTTCTCCATATAAAATAATGTTCGATAATATTTTAATATGGAAAGCATGTGCGACACCTTCAACAAAAAATCTAATAAAATTTTGCAGAATTTTCTTTAATTTTGCAAAAGGTTTGGAACTCTGATGTTTGGCGTTTTCGTTGTAGAATTATACATATTATATAATTATTAGCAAAAAATAAAATATTTATTAAATAGTTGCCCGTATTGTAAAGAATTCGCTGTACCTAAACTTTATTAACTGACTGCAAATATCATTTTGAGAAGTTACATAAAATGTTTTCTTTTGAAACAAAGATAATTTATGTATGTACATATGTACATATGTACAAACATGTAAATATGTATGTATGTATGTACTCATCCGTACCCGTCGGGTACCTACATATTTACGTATTACACAAGTGTGTGTTCCATTGGCAACATTAAAAACAAAGTATTCGTATTCATATGTGGACACCTGAGTTGAATATCAACCTATCTCAGCTGCAGCTTCAAAAACGCCCTATCTCAGTACGTTTTCAATACATTTTCGGCAGAGATAGGGCGTTTTCGAACCAAATTGTGAGTTAGGGCGTTGTTCAATAAAATTCTGAAATATGGTGTTCTTAAAAAAATTCTGAAGTAGGGCGTGAGATAGGGCCTTTTCGAAATGGCTGCCGAAATAGGTCGATCTTCCACTAAGGTGTCGATATGTAAGTAGTGAAAATTTCATTGGCGGCAGAAATTGTTCTTAAGAAATCAATATGTATTTCATACATGTAAGTAAGTAAAGTGTATTGATGAAATGTGCATTCTGTCTGTTTTATTTATGGCGAGATTCGAGTATTCAATTGCTCGTTTGTTGGAAAAACGTCAAAAGTCAAAAATGTTTAAAAGTTTTTAGTCTGGTTATTCCCATGAACAAAAATAAATAAAAAGTTACTAGTGTAATAGTGGAATTTAATTTACTTCTTAAGGCTGATTGTTTTCAGTTATTTATTAAATGCCTTGTTGAAGTCTGCACAAAGTTATGAACAAGTGGAAAATAAGAGAATGTCTGACGGCCATTTCGGCATACTTAGCACAAAAACAATATTTAACAGTTGACAGCCTCGACTTTTTTCTTTCGCCGATACAAAATCGACAAAGAAGTGAGTACGGGGCAATAATAAAAATAATAAAAATTGAGATAAGGGAAATATTGATATAGGCCGTTTCAAAGTAAATTATAATTCCAATGGTCTCTCCGACTATTTTTTTTTGTTTTTGACATCTTGGCTTTTTTACATTTTCTTCGGCACTTCTTAAAGTTTAAATTAAAATCATATCACTTTGTGTACTACGTTAAGCACATAATAAAGTATACGCAATTAACATTTATTAAATGATTAAAATAAATTCACAGATATTTCAAACTTTAAATTTGATTACGGACAGAATTTATATAAAATCCCACACATATATACATACGTATGTTACACGAGTAGAATTTCAGTAAGTTAATTTTCAGAGAGAGCCACTTTGAAAATTGCAATATTTAAGTTGTTTTATCGAAAGTTCTTTAAGAATATTATACTCAGAAATTTAGGCAAATCGTATCTGAATGTTTATGTAAATATGTACATGCATACATATGTACCAAATATGCGTAAAGTATGCGTAAGTATAAATGTGTAAATCTCTGACTTATTGAATATTGCGAATAGGAGTGCATTATTTCTAGTGTTTTCCAACTTTTAAGACTGAAAGCCAAAACGTCGTAATTTATCTTAGAGCCAGATATGTTTTTACTTTAGGTTGTGCCATTTGAAATCTCATATGATAGGTTAATTTTATTTAATATTGACAATACTGATTTTCGTAGTCTATTATTTTGTTAACGTTATTTAAACGATCAACGAAGAAAACAATTCGTCAACGTTGTAACAGTGTTGCACCGGTTAGCTCATATTCTGGAAATTTGCACAGGTACTAGTTAAAAGCGTTGTTAAAAATATTTTTTTAATTTCCATCGGTTCCTTAAAAATTCCTAAAAAAAATTGGGATTTCTCTTGTTGTAAAAACTCAGCTAAATAAAAGAAACGTTTGCACACTGCCAGGGCTATATTGGGAGTTTATTCGACAAAAAAGAGCCTGCGCGTATTTTACTATTAATTTATCAAATCAAAACCATACATCGGTTGATGTATAGAAGAAGGTACATCATTATATCAGAAATTTCTGATCACCTGGATTGTTTTTGCCGCACTAATTCGAAGAATCTGAGATAGCCAAGAAATACTACAAACTCTCTCAAGAGAGAACGAGGGAGAGGGCTACTTCACTAGCAAGTACTGAAAAGAATCAAGGAATTGGTTGATTTGCACATTGGTATTAAACAAATAACAGAAGTTGAGCATTTATCATTTCGCTAGTGGATTTTCCTCAACACAATATTATATGTAATCTTAGCTGGATTGAAAGTAGATTAATGTTTTTAATAGTTTAGCAATATACTGATTTATCGATAAGTTCGTCTTTGATGTAATTCAAGAAGGGCCCTGCAAGTAAATGCGCTAACCATGAACATGAAAATTTACAGCTTTTGAATCTAAAGATAAATATTAAAAATTATTGACTATTGTGACAAGAAATAAGCAAGAACTAACTTTATTTTTATAAAAACCATAGGCCAATATATTAATTAAATTTTTTTAAAAGGTCTTTGCATAACTAAAGTTTTACAAAAGTTTATGACAAAAAGTTTACTTTTTTCAACTTCTTAAAAATGATTAGCTGTCTCAGTTGAAGAATCAAAAAGGCTTTTAAGTTTGAAAACATTATGTCAACAACTCCAAAACGTAGAACCGCGTATACTTGTATGTATATAGTATAAATGTATATATGTACACTTTTTTACATTAACTGTAATCATACTTGATTTTCTATAAAAGAAGAGTTGTGACAAAAAATGCGTAGAAGCGCGTACATATACATATATAATGTTATATATACTGTTTACAGATATTAAGAGATTGGTGAGATAGTAGTGTTGTCGCAAACAAAAATCGCAAACAAATCCAAAAACGTATTATACAACTTGAAAAGATAGAAATTATTACCTTTCACACTGTCGCAAGGTCCATGAAGCAATTATCCACAAGGATACCATGAAAACGAGTAGCACCGTTCCAGGACATATTGTCATTAAGGTTTTCAAAACAAATCTGAAAGATAGATTTAGAAACAAATCTGAAAGACACATTTTATGAATATATAAACATAAGAATCTATGTAGAAGAAAACGCCACAATACTTTTCCAGGCGGAAAATCGGTTTGTCCTTCACTGACTAGAACAATTCAACTACATGGACGCCGAGTTTTCCATTAGTGTACAATATGATTTTTTCGCTGCCCGCCCATTTTCAGGCATATTAAGTGTTAAAAATAAGATCTGCATCAAAAAATCATTTTCCATAATCGAAAAAAGTCATGCTAGATTGAATTTAAGAAGGTAAAAGATAGTCTGAAAACAATCCAATTAATTATCGTTCTGTTACTCCGCAACTGACAATTTAAGGCGATTAGTGTAAAGTAGTGAACGCGCCTGACGTTAAAACGCCCAAAATTGAATTTCAAAACCCTAAAAAATATTCTTAATATTAGTCACAGTTATAAGCGATCCGAGTGCCATATTTCATCAAAACCCGTCCAACCGTTTCTGAGTGAAGAGAGGTCTCGAATAGTCCAGGTTTTTAATTTCATTAAATTTCAGATAAAAAAGTTCATCATTAAAAAAATAACTTTAACTTTATCGCACATCTATGTACAGACAAAGATCATTAATTTGACTTCACATTTTGGAAATTCGGAGGAACGGTGCAAATCTGATTACTGTTACAAAAATGCCTTCACGTATAATCTACATATCTATGGTGATAAGCAATAATCCCCTAAGTCGATTTAAGAAAGAATTTAGTTATATATGCTATCGTATTCTGCAACTACTATTCCATATATATGTGAATCTCAATCTCGCCAGCTAGGCTATTTAAAAAGTTATAGACGAACATATTTTGGTTTCCCCATAAGGTTAACATTACAATCCTAATGTTTAAAACGTTTTTTCTCGAATTCAGGTTTTTCGACTTAGGCGGTTATTGCCTATGACCACAGATATATGCTTATTTAGATCGATATGACTTTTCGAAAAGGTAGCCAGCCTAACCAAAGATACTAGAGTGCCAGTTACTGTCGAAATTCGACAGTTTTTCTAGTTTTAGAACCTTGCAGAGGTTTTCTAACTTAACACGTAGCAAAACTTATACGATACAAATTAACTAACCGGAAAATCTGCTAAAACGTAACTAAAGTTTTTTTTTATCTGAGAAGGTCTTTGGAGGACTTCGGCAGGACTTCGAATTGACCCGATACATTCAAGTTTATCGATAAATTTCAATGATTTGATACATATCGAAAGTTCGATGAATTTCAAGAACACTAAAATTCGATAACTCAACAAAATTCGTTAACTCGACCAATTTCGATAACTGTGAAATTCGATGGCTCGATAAATTTCGATAACTCAAAAATGTAAAAACTTTGGATGCCTTTATAAATTTTTACTTTTGACATCTCCACATTTTTCGAAAACTATCTAAACATTTTGATAACTCGTTACACTTTGTTAAGGCGATTAAATTCGATAAGCAGTGATATGTCGATAAGCTTATATAACCTTAAAATCTCGATAAATCGATATATTTTGAAAATTCCATAAACTTCGATTCGTTGAACCAACCAATTTCAGTAGATCAATAATTATCGATAACTCTGTAAGTTGAAAGAACTCCATGCATTACGACACCTCGATAAATTTCGTTAAGTCTATAAATAATGATAATTCAATAAATATCGATAACTTGATACATTTCTTTAACTTGACAAATTTCGTTAATCCCACACGTTTTTATAGCTCGATAACTATCCGTAAATTTGGACCAGTAAGTTTCTGTATATATAAATTTCGACAACTCAGTAAACATTGATCAGTTGGAATAATTCGATACGTTGCGATAATATACTTCGATGATTCGATAAATTTCAGTAACCTTTATGGCTGATTTTATTTCGATTCCTATCGGAAAATTTCAACTCTGTTAACCTAATTCTTATGTATTTCTCATTGTCTCAATTTTCGCCTTTATCTCAATTTTCGTCTTTATCTTCACTTTTGCCTTTTTTTGTCTTCATCGTTATCACTTGTTTCTTCATCTTCATATTTATCTTTATTTCAAAGTTTAATTTCAAATACGAAGTAAAACAAAATGCGAAACAGCTTAAATTGTACAGGTTGCAAAAACAACCATACACAAATATGGAAGTTTTTAAACGACGATTTTCAACCAATTTCGAAACTATAAAAACTCTCCTCATCTACAGAAAATTATCTTTCCAACGGTGTTTTTGGTTTTGAAATCGGTAACTTTACCTTGTTCTTCATCTTTGCTTTTATCTTTCACATCTTTGCTTATATCCTTTTCTTTTTCTATTCACGTAGATGAGATGAGGTGCGATGACGTGATAAGATGTGGCGAGATTTTATGTGATGTGATAGGATGTCATGTCATGTGTTGTCATATCCTCTGATGTCATACCATATGATATCATATCATGTGATGCCACGTCATGTAATGCCATGTCATGTCATACGATGTCAGATCATGTGATGTCATGCCATATAATGTGATGTAATATCATATAATGTCATGTCACGTGATATCGTGTGATGTGATATCATATTATGTGATGTAATATCATGTGATGTGTTGCCATGTAATGTGATCACATTCCATGTTCCGATTAGTATATCGATAACCCTGTTGATAACTGTGTCGATAAAAATACCGATAACAATATCCATAAACATATAGAAAAATACAACGATTGTAAAATCGATTAATTCATCGATAAATACAAAAATCTTCAGTATCGATTATTGTACATATCGTTAACAACAACAACGACAATATAAATGACTAAATCTATAACAAAATCAATTATTTAATCGATTATTGTGCCGATAACAATATCCATTATTGTATCGATAACAATATCGATTATAATATTGATTATTATATCGATTGAAATAGCGGTTATTTAATCAATAACAGTATCGATAACAATATCGATTATTTTATCGATAGCAATATCGATTATTATATCGACAAAACTATCGAGTTTTATATCGATAACAATATCGATCTTCATCCTCATCCTTTTCTTCATATTGATCTTTATTTTTGCATATTCCTCTTCACCTTTACCTTAAAGTGTTTAAATTTACTTTAATCTTCGTTTTTGCCTGTACCTCTAGGCATCTTTGTTTTTGTTTTTATTCTCAAACCGCTGAGAACTATTTCCATGTGCATTATTCCCCTTGAATTTGACAATTTACTCCCAACCAACCAACTGCCGCTAAAGAAGTTTCACTTCATAAATTCAAGAAATGTTCTTACCCTTTTAGTTACCCTAATTCTTATGTTTTTGTCATTGTCTTCATTTTCGTCTTTATCTTCACTTTTGCCTTCTTTTTTTTGACTTCTTCGTTATCATTTATTTCTTCATCTTCATATTTATCTTTATTTCAAAGCTTAATTTCAAATGTGTAGTGAAACAACAGGCGAAACATGTCAAATTGAACATGTTGCAGCAACATGTATACACAATTCGAAAATGTTTAAACGACGGTTTTGGCTGTAATTTTCAACCAATTGTGAAACCATAAAAACTCTGCTCATCTACGGAAAAATGCCTTTCCAACGGTGTTCTTGGTTTTGAAATCGGTTCGGTAGAATCGCCAAACGAACGGAGAAAAAATTTATGTTAGCGTATTAATATATAGATTCTCAAACCAAAAATCTCTTTCGATCGGTACCCATATCCATGATACAATAATTTAAAGTTAAAACCGCTGAGAGCAAGCCTGAATATTTTTGAAGTTTGCTAACATAGCAAAAATATTTTAAAATTTTTAATCTCACACATATATATGTACATTCTCACTTTTAGTCTCAAATAAAATCAAAATTGAATATTTTCATTTATTTATTTTACTTTTATTTGGCATTTGAGTTGTTCTGAAAATTTCAATTTCATGAAGTAGACAAACTTCAACAAATAAATGACGGCCGACGAAATGAGCGAACGGCTTTACCTTTAAATACTTAATATTTCTTAATATTTCATAAAACTTTTAGTCAATTCCACTTTGCTTTTGTTTGACATTGTGATACTTATGTATTTCAATACACTGATGAACTAAGTTGAATTTGATTGTTGAAACACGTGACGACTCTCCTAAATAAAGGTCGGAAATAAAGAGTTTTCAAACCCATTTCGATTGATACCCACCCTTTAATAATACTGGATCAAAAATTTTTATTTGGATTTTGTTCTCCAGACGCCACTATCCAATTTGTATGTAGAAACGCCCGCTGATTCCAAAAATCGAGTTAAATTTTTATTCTATGGATACGTTATCATGGGCGTCGCTACGTAGGGGCAGGGGGGGGGCTCGAAATTTTTTATTATTATTCTATTGTACGTAAGATAGATATACAAGAAAATTCAAAAGATCCCATTGACGAGATTTTCAAAATCTGGTTTTAGGTCAGTTAAAGCTGTTATAACAATTCTGTTAAATGTTGGATAGTCAATATGTACGTTGGTTTAAAATCTCCAGTCAAAAATATCCAACAGCGAAATTCCGGCGAAATATCATCTGTTCTCTCACGAGAGAAAAATATCCAAAATAGTACGCGAACAGAAAATTTGCAGACGAACAGCTGATAGAAATTTTGTTTACATTAACAGGTCTATTCTGCACGTTACCGAAGATTTTGTGACCGGAAAATTTTATTACCAAAAAATGTTACCACTTCTTGTCACCGTGATTCTAGGTACGTTGGTAATGCAGTGAAAATATTCAGCAGCTCAGCTATGAAGATTTGTGGAAATTCCTGTATTGCATATTTCACGGGGCAATATTTTGTTACCAGCTTATGTGATGGTAACCAAATTTACCGGTTACAAGAGAGCACAGAATGTGAAAAAGGTTTAAAAATTTACAGACACTTTAATTGCCGGTTATAAAATTTATGTTACCAGCGCAGAATAGACCTGTAAAAAGTATAAAATTGAAAACGTAAGAAAACGAATCCTGAA